AATAACATAATAGACTATAATAACTATAATGACACTATATGAAACTATAATACATATATCACTATAAGTAACTTTTATAATATAATGACACTATAATAGAACGTTTAAATACATATATACTTTTATCACTATAATAAACTTTAATACACTATAATATAAACTTTAATACATATAATCAACTTATAAACTATAATACACTATAGATCAAACTATAATATTAATAAATATAGATACAACTTTTAAATAAACTATAATAATATATAAATTTAAAAACTATAATACACTATAATAACTATAATAAAGTATAATAAACTATAATCTATAATAACTATATAAACTATAGATAACTTTAATAAACTATAATACTATATGAAACTATAATTAGTTTAATAAACTATAATCATATGAATAAACTATATAAACTTAATAAACTTAATTCACTATAATACTTTAATAAATTTTATCACTATTATAAACTATAATAAGGTATATAATTTAATAAACTATATCACTATATAACTTTTAATAAATATAATAACTTATATCAAACTATATACTTTAATAAACTATAATACATATAATAAACTTTAATAAACTTTAATTTAACTGTTCACTGACAACCAGGGAAGAGTTATGATTTAAACACACTCCGGGCACCTCGTTCAGCCTCCACCGCCGTGCTGGAGACGGAGTTGACGTCCATGTTGGCGAGCGCGTCCAGCAGAGTGTGAGGAGTCCTCTGGCTCCACCCCCTCCTCACCTCCGACCAATCCCTGAGCTTCAACTCCTCGCCCTCCTGGAAGCTCAGAGTCTGGTTCAGAGGATCCACTTCCTGTTCGGGGAGTCGGGGGCAGAATGAGAGAGAGGAAGAGAGAAAGAGAGGAAGAGGAGAGAGAGCCGTTACTTACCTCCTGCATCTGACCATCACCCACCTTCTCCTCCTCTTCCTCCTTCATCTCTTCATCGTCCAGCCGGATCTCAAACATGATTCCCTTCTACAGAAACAGCTGAGTTTTAACTGAAGCCACAGTTCAGGTGTGTGTTTCTTGATCCTGTAAGATATTTAGTGGTTGTAATGTCACCTTGTCTTTGTGTTTCCTCTCCAGCGCCCTCCTCTGAGCTCTGTGCTCCTCTCTGATCTTCCTCAGAGCAGCTCCAACGTCCTGCAGCAGGAACCAGAGAGAAGACTGTGAGCACACGTTGTTCTGACTGGACTTTATCTCTTCTCCTGGCAGTATTTACCTGAGCAGGTGGAGCTCTCTGCTGCTCTTTACCGTCTGCAGGAGGCTCTCTGGGTTTCTCCACCACAAAGGTTGCTTGTTTGTGTTGTGCTTGAGCCTGAGACGGTGATAATGTATTGATCGTTTTATTGATTATCGAGACAGGAATAACTTCAAATAAAATCTGGTCTGTATTCGACATTCAGAGTGAAATGTGACATTAACACTTATTGATACCATTGAGCGTGATTGACTCTTCCTGATATATATCATTTATTATTAATAAAGGTATAACTTATCTTATTATCTCTGTTCTCCATCCAGAGTAAACCTTTATCTGTACATTCACAGGTACACCGCAAACAGGAGCTGCTAGCAGCTAATTCAGCTATAATTAATTATTGTCTAAAGAATCCAAACCAGTCGTTGATTGTTGGAAAGAATACTAAAGTCAGGTTTGGTGAGTTTTATTTAGTTTCCATCTGGTTTGAAATGTTTTTATCTACAAGGTAAAATGAGTGTTTTTGTCTATGGAGTCTGGTGAGCTGTAGCATCAACTGTTTGGTCTAGTGTGACATCTAGTGGACATTTCACATATAACCTTTAAACAGAGACAGTCAGCTGCCACGCAGTGCATTATGGGATACAGGAATCTGTTGGTACCTCTGCTTCAGCTCTCAGCCTCATCTGTCTCATCTCCTGCTGATACTGCTGTCTGATGGCCTCCAGCTGCCGCAGGTACTCCTGAAGTTGTAGAAGATATAAGTACTCACACTTCACTACAGTACTTGAGTAAAAGTACTCAGTTACATCCACTGGTGTGTCTGCTGTGTGTCCTACCTGCCGTCCCTCCTGCTTCCTGTCCTGAGGAGCATGTTGGTGTGAAGGTTGTCCAACTTCCTGCTCCGGACCGCCGGGCTTCCTGTTGCGCTCGGCGGTACACGGACGCAGACCCTGACGCTCAGACAGGAAAGGTCAAAGGTTAGAGGTTGCTGTGGCTCATCCACAGTGTGATAGAGAAATCTTTACTGTCTGTCAGCAAAACACAAGCTAACTAGTGTTAGTCAGCTAGCGTCTTGCTAACATTAGCTAACTTTAAATGTATTTATGTCTCTTTTAACTTTTATCTTTTAACCATCTTCAAAATGTGGTTGTCTTTGCAACATAGATTAGCCTAGCATAGCATATCTAATTACAGGAAAGGAGGAAGTTGTTGCTCAACTGTGATTGGAGCACAGAGTGAAAGGGGGCGGGGCTTAGTGAGAGTTGATTGATCTAATAATGTGAGCTTCATCCTACCAGCTGTTTCTCTGCTCTCAGTTTGTACTGGTTGGCGTCGTGTCTCCTCTGCAGGTACTCGTTACGAGCTGCAGCCACACTGACACAAACAGAGACGAGGTTGATATCGTTAGTGTCCATTATGACAAAACATCACAAATGAATTATGTTGGAAACACAACATTAGCTCCAAGAACAACAGTTAAACATTGTGGGAAATACTGATACAGCATCTAAATAATATGCTGGGAGATCTCAGGGTCATTACTGCTCTAATGTCTGCACCATACATATGAAACCAGCAGCCTCCTGGCTCCAGCTTCATTGTTCTAATAATTAATAAGGAAGGAATGAGGAAGAATTTAATGATAATAGTTGTAAGAGTGACTCACAGCTGGTACGGTTCCACAGCGAGGTCCTCACAGTGCTCCTGAAGAGGAGGAGGAGCAGGAGGAAGAGGAGGAGGAAGGACGTCCTCCTGGTTCCTCCTCTGGAAGGCGTCCAGCTGTGCGTGGTAGTGCTGGTAATGGCTGAGCGGCTGCTGCTCGTTAAACCTGCGGCAGTGACAGTTTTAGTCTTCGTGTAAAAGCTCGCTGATGAAGATGAAGATTACTGGAGGGAAGAGTGTAACTGTGGTTCACCTGTGGTTGTTCTGCCCTGAGAGCGCTCTGCCTGCTCGTCCTCTCTGGTGAACAACAGAAATATATATAATATCACAGTATGAAAATACTCCATTACTGCACAGTAATCATCCTGTATTAGTAATCCTACCTCAGTAAGAGTAAATCTTTAAAATGTACTTAGAGTAAAAGTATTTATTATAAAAAACATTCAGATTGATATATAAACACATAATTGGGGGATTATCACTGAAGTACAATACATGAGTAAATGTACTTAGTTACATTCCAGCACAGTTGATTACTTTACTCACTGTATTACCATGAGTACATGAACATAGCAATAAACCCAGTATGTTATTATTATTACTTTGTGGGGGGGCGGGGTGTAGACTCTGAGGGGGACTCTCCAGTCTGGTTTAGCAGGTAGTCTGTTCAGGGCGGGTCTCTGTGCAGGTCTGGACTTCTTCTCTGGATCAGAGGAGGGTGTCAGTGAGAGCAGCAGGAACCAGAGCACTGTGTTTAAACTGCCTCAGTGAGAGCACAGAGACACTCCCTCAGCGACTGTTACCAAAACACACTGTGAGCCAACATGTGACGCATTCAATCCGTCCAATCAGGACTCACCATAGAGCAGAGCCAGCAGCAACAGTGTGAACAACCACTGGGTGGCGCCAGAGTCCACCGCAGTGTCTCAGTGTCAGCTGATGTTACCTGTGTGTGTGTTTGCTGCTCTGCTTTTAGCTGCTGCTCTGTTTCCACACAGCGCCGCGTGGTTGAACTCCTGCTGCATCACCTGCACACAGGAAACCACACACACACACAGTCACACACACACACAGTCACACACACACACACACACACACACACAGTCACACACACACACACACAGAGAAGACACAGACACACACACACACACATAACCACACACACACAGTAAACACACACACAGTAACACACACACACGACACAGTTCAACCACAC